GTAACAAGCAAATGTGATTTCAGACATTGCCAAATGTTCCCCCAGTGGGGGCAAAATCTCCTCTGATTGATAACCACTGGCACTGCCCTCAGCACTGAGAAGAACTTCCCTCCCATTCCTGGAGCTGATTGGCTTTGTTTTACTTGGATCATTGACTTCTAGGGTAGAGAAGATCTTAGCTTAATTCCCATTTCATCGATTAAGGAAATTGAATTGAGTGAGGGCTGAGTTTCTTTCTCCCATTCACATTTGATCATTCATTCATTCATTCATTCATTCATATGTTCAGTGAGCATCTAGTATGTGCCAATGCTGGACCAGGCAACAGGCACTAGCACCCAGAGGTCCACCTTGGATAATAAACAGCTGGGACTGCTGAACACAACCCATTCTTTACAGCCAGGGAGGACCCAGCTCACTCAATCCTGCAGGAATGAGGACCCTCAGGTAGACTCATTGGGCCGCTCCCACCTGGACTTGGAGCAGACTTTCTGGGGGAAGAAAGGGCAGAGGTGGGGGGTGGGCTTGGGGGCAGTGGGTTTCATCTACTGTCTCATTGGCAGCCCTGTACCTGTGTGCCCACGTGGACAATACTGATATTCAAATGGTGAGTTACACTCCACAAAGCGTATTGCCTGTTGTCATCTCGTTCCCACTGTAAGCCATCCGGTCAGATTGGTATTTTCTTTTTCCCATTTTATAGATTAAAAAAAAAAAATCAAGGCTCAGAGAGAGGACGTGACTTGTCTCAGATCATGGAGCAAACTGGGATAAAGTTGGATACTTTCTGACATTGTTTCTGTGCTCATTCCTCTTTCCCTCACCCTCAAATACTTTTTCCCTATAAAATAATTTAAAAAATGTAAGAATACCTGAAAGGTATGAAATCAAAAGTGTTAAGTACTGCCCCTCCCCTGTCCCATCTACCAATCCTGCCTTCTAAGGGGAATCAGTGTTAGTAGCATTTTGTTTAATCTCTCAATAAAATGTACTGATGTAAAAAAAGTATTTTTTACCTTAAGAGGTGTGTTAGCACATAGGGGTGTAGAGAATTGCTTGTGTTCCAGGCTCAGCCCGCTGCTCAATGCCATGAGATCCTGGACAGTCACTTCCCTTCTCTGGACCTCACTGTTCTCGTCTGTAAGGTGGGATTATACCAGTCTTATCCCTTAGTGGCGTTAGAGAGTAAAATGAAATCACAGGGATAAAGCACAGCGCTCATAGAACAGCCTGACAGCCCTCATGAGCCCTGTTGTCACTTTCTATCTGAGCATTCTCAGAGTTATTACATTGTATATATTGCTCTGTCACTTACTAAGAAATGCATTTTGAAATATTCCAGTCACTCAAAAAGAGTTAAAGAGTAAGGCAACAAATACCCATGTGTATACACCTTTCGCTTAAGAAATAGAATTCTACCAGTATGTCAAAGCCTGTTGCCCTTCCTACCATATGCTCCTTCTCCTTCTCCACCCCTAACTACTGTCCTGAATATGACCTTCAGCATGACCATTTATCAGGTGCACTATTACCATCTTGCTGTTATTTATTGTTGGTATCTATTTATTACACGTCAGTTTCTCTGAATAATATGTGGTATGTTTTAAAACTTTATATAAATGCAGTCATCCCTAGTGAATCCTTCAACACTCTGCTCTTTTTTTCTCCTTTTTTTCTTGCTCAACACTTTGTGAGGGGCATCTGTGTTGATAAGTGTAGTTTTGATTGATTCATTTTTCACTGCTCTATAGTATTCCTTTGCGTTAGTATCTCCCCACCAATCTCTCACTTAAAATCCATCATGATTAACTTTTCATGTCAGCACCTATATGGTCATTTCATTTTTTAAATAGCTACATTGAAATATAAACACATTATTATTATTATTATTTTAGGTAGGCTGTATGCCAACATGGGGCTTAAACTCACAACCCCGAGATCAAGAGTTGTGTGGTCCACTGACTGAGCCAGCCGGGCACCCCTAAACATATATGTTACTGAACCAGGCTCTTATTGATTAATATTTAGGTTGTTGCCATTCTCCTCCCAAATAACACCGCAATAGATACATATCTTTGGTGACTGTGTCTAGCTAATTCTTCAGGAGAGTGTCTTAGAAGTTGCATTGATCATCCAAACAGTTTATGCATTTAAAATGTTGACTGACACTGAAAAAGTACCTTCCAGAATAACCTGAACCTATGTACCCTGCTGCCAACTCTACCTGAGAGCACCATTGCTCTCCAGCTTTATCAATATATTGCTTTCGGTGACTTTCAACTAGACCATCTGAGTTGGAATGTGGGGTAGCTGGACCCAGGCTGGGTGTGCTTCTAAAATGCCCCCCAAGACTTGCTGTCAACTCCATCCACCAACCACTCACAGGCTGGCACTGAGTAGGGATGGGTCCAGAGTACCCCTCCCCTCACCTGTGCCTTAGTCTCCCCCTCAGGCCCTGTCCCAGAACTAGGGGGCGGGGCTGCACCTCCTGGTGCCCCCAGGTCAGTGCAGTATTACTCCTGAGAACTTTGCACTTGCTCCTCCCTGTTTGTCAGGTTTTGCTGAAGAATGTATGTGAAGAATTGTTTATTTTCACCAAAGCAGATGTAATAAATCCACGCTTTAGCAAAAAAACAAACAAACAAAAACAAATAAAATAAAATAAAACAAAAGCCCCCAAATGGTTCAAGGTGCTCTTTGATTTTCCCTGACCTTTCCTTCCCCTGCCTCACCACATCTTTACTCAGAAGCATCCAGGAACCCCGCTTCATTTTTACTTTTTATTTTCAAAAATTTTATTTATTTATTTTTGAGAGAGAGAGAGAGAGAGAGAGAGGGAGGGAGAGAGAGAGAGAGAGCACAAGCAGAGGGAGGGGCAGAGGGAGAAGTAGGCTCCCTGCTGAGCAGAGAGCCTGATGTGGGCTCGATCCGAGGACCCTGGGACCATGACCTGAGCCGAAGGCAGACGCTTAACCGACTGAGCCACCCAGGCGCCCCCAGGAAGTCCACTTTAGGGTGCTTCACTGGTCCATCTCACGATGGCTGGAGTTTAGGTAACAGATCAGGACAGCGATTGGTGGCCAATGAGGGCTAGGAAGAGCATGTGGTTGCAAAGCATTCACAGCAAAAGGGGCTCCATCTAAACTGCTACGGATTTCTAGGTCAATGGGCTGTGTGTTCACGTCCCAAAGTAGAGGGCCAGCTATGATCGTGACACCCACTGGGAAGGTACAAAGTGTTCATAATACAAAGTACTGTTGGAGGGAGCACAAGTCTGGAGACGATGCACCTGTCCATCTACCGGCGGCGGGTTGCATGATTGTAGAAGCCCACAATGGAATACACGCAGGGTTCGAAGGAATGAGATGAAGTCACTGGTGAATAACACGGAGAATAACCTGGCAAGAATGTTCAAAATTATAAATACATCTCTCCTCAACAAGCTCACTTCGGGGAATTTATCCCGCAGAGCATTGTTCACCCACTTGCAAAATGACGTCCATGCAAGGTTAAGCAATGCCATGCTGTTTGTCGTAGCAAGACTCCAAGGCAAATCAAATATGCACCAGTAAGGTTAAATCAATTATGGAGCATCCAGACAGAGTGCCGTGCAGCAGCAAGAGAACGGGGAAGCTCCCTGTGGCCCAAAGAGGAGAGGTGGCCAGTTTCTGTTATATCAAAAAGCAACGTGTGCAGAGTTTGCTGCCTTTTGTGTAAAAACGGGGAGAGATATAAGACTTTATATCTTTGCTTTGCTACTGTGTGGGTAAAGGAACTTGGAGAGGAGACCCAAAAAACAAATGATGCTGGTACATATTATGCTGGTAGGGGACGTGGGACATTGGATATAGGATGGGGTGTAAGGGCAGGAAGAGAATTTTCACTATATACCTTTTCACAGATACATATCTATGTATGTATATATATATGTGTGTGTGTGTGTATACATATAGAGGTGTATGCATGTGTCTAATAAATAAAATATTACCTGTTCAAAAACCATGTAACTGGACAATAACAAAAAAAGATGGCAGAGTTGTGTGCCAACACAATTCAGTATCAAGTGAAAAAGAAATCGAGGGAGAATTGTGGCTATAATAGGTCTCGTGTGAATGGGAGGGATGCATTTGAACAAGGGAATGGGACCGCCTCCACAGAGCAGGATGGCGGCTTGGGGCTGCAGAGGGAATCCCATTTTATTGTGCATCTTTTTATACAGTTTGATAAATTTGCAAAATGCATGCGATTTTTGTAACAGTAATAATTAGTAATAATAGTTAATAATAATGATGAACTCCCTGAGCTTTGTCATTCCAGGTTCAGAACAAACCCCAGCCTTTCTTGGGGTTTCTAACGGCTCTTGAACTTCCACAGGGGTAGGGTAACCAGCTTCGCTGGAGCAGGGAGTCCCCAAGGAACAACACGCAGGCTCCACCTCTCCATCGCTCCCTTGTTTCCCAGGGAAATGAGGGACCATCTGATTTGAGGTATTAGGGAGGGAGGTATTAGGGACCTCCCTAATAGGGAGGAGGGAGGACACAGGTTAAGTCCTATTCCCAGGGCAGAGCCGCTGGACTGAAAATCTGGCAGTGGAGTCCCCTCTCTCTCTCTCTCTCTCCAGACTTCTCCACTTGTCTACTTGTGCCAGGAAATGCCAAATCGAAGTCACTTGGAGAGGACAGAGTGTAGGTGTCCAGCAGTGGTCTGCAGCCCAGCTCCACCGGGAATTAAGCTGGTCCCATCTGGCTCTTTTTTCTATTTGACAGTTGGTTGAAATCAGAGGAGAGAATTGAGGAGGTAGGTGAACATGCCCCCCTCCTCCCTGCCTGCTGCTGACTAATTAGAGTCCAGAGTCTCAGGAGAACCTTCTACTGGGTCTCCCTGTCTTGTTTATTTTACTCAGGTTAAGCACAGGTAACCTGGACCTCACCTAGCCCATCGTGCCCCTCTAGGGAGTACTGCTTTAGTAGTTACATCAGACGGTCCCTGGTGGTCCTCACCTTTGGCAAAATGGCTGGGAATCTTCCTATATGGGTAGGTCATCCGCCAGAGCAGATTTCCTGCCACATCTCCAAAACTCAATCTCTGATCAGGATTTGTACCAGATGAGCCTTTGGAAATGATCTAATGATCAGATTTTTTAAAAGATTTAATTATTTATTTGAGACAGACAGAGAGAGAGAAAGCAGAGGGAGGGGGAGGGGCAGAGGGCAAGGCAGAGAATCTCAAGCAGACTCCTTGGTCAGTGAGGAGCCTGTCCTTGGGCGGGGCTCGATCTCATGACCCTGAGATCATGACCTGAACAGAAACCAAGAGTTGGACACTTAATCTACTGAGCCACCCAGGTACCCCTCAAATGATCAGATTTTGTGTTTTAAGTTGGCAGCAAATCATTCAGAGTGGGTGGGTAGTACTTTAAAGATGTAAAAATCAGGCCATGAAATCACTGCCTAAAACCCACCAAGAGCTTCTCACCATGCTGAGAATAATATCAAAACTCCCTTCAATGAGCTACAATGCCTTTTGGATTCTGGCCTTGGACCTCCTTCTCCAAAACCACCTTTTACCATCTCCCCCCTCAAACTACAGTATGACCACACACACTTTTTTTCCCCCCCTGCTCCTTAAACCTTCCAAATGCTTCCTGTGTCTCAGGGCCTTTGCATGTGTTGTTCCCTCTGCCTCAAATTCTCTTGTGTGTTATCTTTGTTTGGCTGGCTGCCTCTGGTCATTCAGGTCTCAGCTCGTCTTCTCTAAGACACCCCCTCTCCCATCACTTTCTGTCTCATTCTCTGCAGACTGCTTACTGCAAGCAGAGCGATTCCTGATGATGTGTTTCCTTGTTCTTTGTCTGTCTCCATGAGATGGTCCACACCCAGGCAGCAGGAACAAAGTTGGGACAGGCAATGCATCCTTAATCTTTGGATTCCTGCAGTGCAGGAATTTGGCAGCCAATGAATATTGAGGGGAGGGGACAAGGGAAAGGGTGCCTTGGGGCATTTAACAAGTGCTTAGGAGCTGATGACGTTTCCTTCAAATCCAGAAATTCTAGAATTCTGGATGTGGGTGGTGGGGATCAGGGTGCAGACATTACTAACAGAAGATCAACGGCCCAGGGGTCATCCTGGTGAAGGCTACTATGGTCAGGTCCTCAGCCTTCTTATGGATCAGCTGTCTTAAGCTCCTTCCTTTTCACCCAGTTTTCTCCTCAAGACGAATATGGACAGATTTCTATTCCTGTCCTCCTTCCACCTGGACATGGGTTAACTGGCAGGGAAATGGGTGGCGGGAAAGAGGGAGGAGGTTGGGATCATTCTCTGAATCATCTGTGATTCAACCCCTCCATCATGAGGGCACAGGAAAAGCCCAAGACTCCCAGCAGATGGTGGCAGGAAGGGCAACTGAGTCCCCGAAGCAAAGCCTTACTTGCATCCTCCCCGAGGCGGTTCACCCTCCGTGTGAGTGGAGGGAGGAGAATCCTCCGAATAGGGGATCAAACTAACCAGGATCTAGCAACCATCCCCATCAGCCTCAGACATCCATCACTCTGGAAAAAAGTCATCAAAGGTGATTATTTACAGGGCGTTGCATTTTCGCAGACAGAGCTCGGGAAAGGTCTAAGGCCGGCCAGACCCCACAGGCAATCTGGCACTAGGGTTGAATGGGGAGTTGGATGAGCTCAGCTTTTCATTTTTACAATGGACCAAAGAACCTCAGTCCCACCATGAGAGAAGTAAAGACGGCAAGTTGTCTCTTAAAAAGACATTTTTAGATATCCCTTTATTCCCAAAGCCATGGTTATGAAAACCCTGCTTCTCTCCCGGACTTTGCTTTGTAACTGCAGCCTGTTCTCTCCGCAGCGGCCAGAGGGGTCTTTCCAAACCACCCCCTTCCACGGGCCAGTGGTCCTCCTTGCAATTCTTCTTCTTCCCTTGACTCCTAACACTACCAAAGAGATAAGTCACAGTGTTAATCACACTATCATACTTGTCTGGCTTCTCTCTCGTCTTCCCCACTGGAAGTAAGTTTCCCGAGGAGAGCGAGCACCTCTGCCTTACTCATCACTGCCTCCCTAGGATCTATCCCACGGCCATGGACCTGACACACAGTAGGCCCTTCACAAATAGCTCTACTGGTTGAGAGCAGACTCGGTGTGTTAGAGAAGTCCATCTCTTCAAGAGGGACTATAGATTAGTATACTATATTACTGCCTATCATAAAAGTGAATCCATGGTAAACTTAATCCTCGATAAACATGCTTTGGTTTACGATACTGTGTCTGGAGAGAAGTTCTAGGTGAATGTACACATCTAGTTCTAAATGCAAAACACGATTCCATCTCTGCAAGTAGAGAACCCGAGGGGAGCCTGTCCCCATTAATCCCATGGTTGGCTCCAGCCACGGGAGGGCAAACAGAAGCCCAGCTGGTGAGTTTGCTTGTTGCTGTCTTCATTCCGGAGCTGCCCACCATGCCACGGTCACGTGGATGGAGGAGATTTCAGAGCAGTGTGTGCATCACCCAGGAGAGCACATCAAACTCCTGAGTCTGCTGCAGAAACCCGGGGACCACAGGGGACTTGCAGCAGTTGTTGAAAGGGCCAGCTTGTACAGGCAAGAAAAGACTTTCAGTGTCTTGGCTACTAGAGTAATTACCTGATAATTGTCCTCTGTGAGCTGGCTTCTTCCCCCACGAATGGGCCTCCTTTGTAAATCGTGTTGGGGTCAGAAAGCCTTGAAAATTCTATGTCCAGTCACCTCTCATCAGAGCAGTGGTTGGGCAGTGCATCCCTCTCCCCTGTGAATGAGCCCGGGGAGCTGTTGGCTCAGGGGTGCCATCCTGCCTTTGTGCCTTTAACAATCCAATTAACTGTGGCTGACGCCAGTGCCAACTGATTAGCATTCAAACACTTCTCTCCCTTCCCACCTCCATCCCCCACTCGCCAAACTCCATTCATATCTCATGGTGCTGGCTTTGTGATTTCTTGCCGGTGGTAGTCGGGAGGAGGAGAGATATAGGGTGTGATTTACTTGTGATTTCTTTGTGTACAGGAAAATCAGTGAGTCACTGGGAGCAGGGCTGGGAGACAGGCACAAGACAGCTCAGAGAGGAACCCCAGAGTGGGAAATCTATCTACAGTCAATTACCTATCTACTCGCAGAGACAAATATAATACTTGGGAATGAACCCAGATGGTCTTCAAGTGACTTCAAAAGACATCACGAGTAAGTTTGCAATGTCTCTTCACCTGTTTGCTCAGATTCCCAGACAAGAACAAAGAGCAGATCGGCATCCCAGTACGCTTACCGGGACAGGCTCAGAGGTGGAAAAGATGGGAAGATGGGCACACCCGGGCTTGGGCACTGGTTTCGCCACCAAATTGCTATGTGGCCTTGAGCAAATTCCATCTCTCAAAGCCTTGGTTGTTGGCTTTGTGAAATGAGGGCAGTGATCTTTGCCTGGTCAACCTCAAAGAGAGAAAAACTGAGGAGATTGGCGGGGGAGAGCTGTGTGTACGACCGAGTTCTGAGATGTTTAGCGCACTTTTTAGAACTTTAAGACCAATCACTTTGTTTCTTTTAAGAGATGAGGCTGCTCCTCTCTTCAGACTGAACCTGGACAAGAGTGGCTTTATTTGCTGGGGCCAAATAAAACATGTTCATGGCTTCACCGGCGTCATTGAAATTTTTCTTTTCCTGAGAAGTGTCTGTTTTTATCTTCATTTTAATGACGAGGAAATGCTGGGGAGTGGCAAAGCCGGGATTTGAACAGGGCTGTCTGACCCCCAGACCCACGCCCCATTGAGGTGGGGAACGGGCTATATGTTTATTCCAGCTGGCCCCCAAATCCTAGCTTGGCTGCTTCCAGAGTGAATGCTGAGCGCTGCCCGCGAACAAACTAGCACAGGATCTGCTCCGGCTATGAGGTCCCCAGAGACAAAGGAGTAGCCCCACGGGTAGCAGATCGGGTCCCGCATCGGGCTCCCTGCTCAGCAGAGAGTCTGCTTCTCCCTCTGACCCTCCTCCCTCTCATGCTCTCTGTCTCTCATTCTCTCTCTCAAATAAATAAATAAAATCTTTAAAAAAATAAAATAAAATAAAAAGCAGAACCCAAAGGTAAGGGAGCTAGCTTAGCATACCCATTTTAGAGATGGGCAAACCAAGGCCTGAGGTGCGAAGGGGAAAGTTCTGGATCAAGAAGGTGAGGATTCCTCATTGACTCTCTCTATGCACTTTGGTCAAAGTGTGTTCTCATCTCTGGGACTCCGTTTTATCCTCTGTTACAATAGAATAATTTCTTCAAATAAAAGCTTAAGTGGAATGACACTCTCTAACCATGCAGTAAAGGATTAACTCAGCAGGTTGGGATTGTCCACACCCTGCACGTTTTAAAGAAAGATTTGGCCCTTGCCCCCACTCCTGGGAGAGAACTTCAAAACCATTGGAATTATCCTGCCTCATAGGAGGGTCTTCACCAACTTCATAGGTGTTGGGCTCTGCCTGGTACTCTATGCTACCAGCAGGATTTATGGGTGGCGACCTTGGGCTTAGCATCAGTTTGACCTGTAGGGGAACTGGAGACTAACATCAGCCACACGGGTGGTGGGTCATGGCTGTGTGATTAAGCCCCAGTGGAAACCGTGGACACCAAAGCTCAGGAGAGCTTTCCTCGTTGACCATACTCCAGGGATGATACACAGCACCTCGTGGGGAAAGTCAGGGCTGTCCGCAGGACTCCGCCGGGAGAGGACAACAGGGGATGTATGCCTGGCCTCCCCCAGACTCTGCTCTCTGTGCCTCCTCCCTTTGCTGATTTTAGTCTGGGTCATTTCACTGTAATAGACCAGACCCCTGGGTTTGATGGCTTTTCTGAGTTCCGTGAGTCCTTCCAGCAAATTACTGAACATGGCGGTGGTCTTAGGGAGCACTGAACTCCCCAATCAACCACAAATTGGACCATATGGATTGAATCAGGATGGGGGCAGGAGTCTGAGAGCTGTCCAATGAGGCTTCCCCTTTCCTGAACCACCCTTGATGAGGATGAT